TATGAACCATGAGGTCATGACCTGAGCTGAAATCAAGAGTCGGACACTTTACTGACTGGGGCACCCAGGTGCCCCCTGACTTTTTTTCTCTAATCTATTTTATTTTATTTTTTCCTTTATAAATATTTAACAAAAATATTTAAATGCTTGTTTATTTTTGACGAAGAGAGAGAGATAGACAGAGTGTGAGCGGGAGAGGGGCAGAGAGAGAGGGAGGGAGACACAGAATCCAAAGCAGGCTACAGGCTCTGAGCTGTTAGCACAGTGCCAGACGTGGGGCTTGAACTCATGGACTGCAAAATCATGATCTAAGCCAGTCAGACGCTAAACCACCTGAGCCACCCAGACATCCCTGTGTTTTCCTTTTTAAATATTTTAAAATTTATTTTTGAGAGGGGGAAGGAGAGTGAGAGAGTGTGCACAGAGAAGGAGCAGAGAGACAGGGAGAGAGAGAATCCCAAGCAGGCTCTGGACCACCAGCACAGAGCCCAAAACAGGGCTCAGACTCACAAACCATGAGATCATGGCCTGAGCTGAAGTTGGACACTTAACTGACTGAGCCACCCAGGTGCCCTATTTTATTTTTTTTCTGACTGTGTTTTAGATTAAACAACTATGGGCCTCTACAGATAACTCCTTCACTCATTCGCTCAACAAATATTTAATGAGTACTTACTAGGTGTTGGAGAACCTTCTAAATTGATAAGCAAAAAACAAAACAAAACAAAACCCAAACAAAATTCGAAACAGATAAAATATTCCTGCCTTCATGAAGCTACATTCTAGAGAAGTCAAGCTGTTCAAAGTCTCTTTAGGCATATTGCTAAATCAGTATATAAGTCACCATACTACAAATGAGCAAATCAGAAGACTCTAGATGCTGGCGAGGATGTGGAGAAACGGGCACCCTCCTACACTGTCGGTGGGAATGTAAACTGGTGCAGCCCCTCTGGAAAACAGTGTGGAGGTTCCTCAAAAAGTTAACAATAGAACTCCCCTAGCACCCAGCAAGAGCACTGCAAGGAATTTACCCAAGGGATACAGGAGTGCTGATGCACAGGAGCACATGTATGCCAATGTTCATAGCAGCGCTCTCAACAAGAGCCAAAACATGGAAAGAGCCTAAGTGTCCATCAACAGACGAATGGATCAAGAAGATGTGGTTTATCTATACGATGGAATACTACATGGCAATGAGAAAAAATGAAATCTGGCCATGTGTAGCAACATGGATGGACCTTGTGGGTGTTATGCTGAGTTAAATAAGTCAGGCAGAGAAGGACAAATACCATATGTTTGCACGTATAGGAGGATTAGGAGGAATGTAACGGAGGACCAAGGGGGAGAAGGAGGGGGGAAATAGTGGGGGAGAGGGAGAGAGGCAAAGCATGAGAGACTCTTGAATACTGAGAACAAACTGAGGACTGATGGGTGAGGGGGGGGGAGGGGGAAAAAGGAAAAGAGGAAGGCACTTGTGGGGATGAGCACTGGGTGTTATATGGAAACCAACTTGACAATAAACTATTTGTAAAAAAAAAATAATAAGTTGCCATACTACTGCATTTCCACTAGCACTGAGTATTATGGTCAAAAAATTTTTTTTATGGTTTAAATTTTTTTGACAATTTCATAACAGTTAATGGCAATATTGCATTCTTTAAGGACTTTCCCCCTTTCCTCTCCGCTCCCATGCATTTACCAACTCACAAAATACAAGTAGATTAAAGAGACATTTAAATTCCCATCCGAATGTCAAAGCTTCAAAGGTATTTGTTTTCCTCCAGTGAGAAAACAATCCCCACCCCAAATCAGGGATGGCAACAGTGAATTCAGTTCCTATATTCTGCAAGGTAGCTCTTGATTGTAGCAGGGAATGATGATGACAAATCATGTCCTGGTAGAGGTTGATATGCCTGGGAGCCAAGTCAGCAGCAAGTTTCTCCAGCCAAATGCCAGATCTCCTTGGAGGACCAGCTAGGACAAGCCCGGTGGGCTCTGTGCAAGGCAAGACTGAAGTCACAGTCAAATCAGTTCTTTCACTAACGCACTTGGTCAGCTATGAAGCACTGATTGGTGGAAGCGAGTTTTGTTTTCTTCATTGAGACCTTTGGAAGATGTTGAAGACTTTGAAAGAGGCTTATACTATGTATGGAAATATATAAAAAATAAGTGAAAAAATAAAAGAGAGAAAATTATAATATTATCTATAGTATTTTGGGAGCATTTATCATGAGTTAGGAAACTTCAGAATTCTCTCCTTAAAATAAACACATATAGGGTGGTTACGATGTATCAGGTACTGCCTTAAGTGCTTTTGAGCCATATAATCATTATAATCAGCTTATGATATAGACACTATCCTCTTCATTTGATAAATGAAGACATTTAGGCATAGAGAGGTTAAGTGCTTGAAAAGCCAGGATCTGATCCCAGCTGTGACCCCTCTAAAGCCTGTGCTCTTCAACACTATCTTATAAAAAGGAAACTGATGATCAAATCAGGTAAGTAATTGCCATGGTTCAACAGTTTAGGTCAGGAGTAATTTACTGAGTATCTTCCACAAACTAGGCATGTGCTGGCCCAGGGTCACAAAGCTTACCAGCAGGAGGCCTAGGAGCCTGGATCTGACTCAAGTTGGGTCAGAATCTAGGCTCTCACTTTTTCTACTACGTCTTGCTTAAGGGAAAATGCTTTCCTGTTTGGGTTGATGTCCAAGAGGCAATGCTGGCATAGGGCACAGTGCTCTTGGAACAGAAGGCCACAGTGAGAAGAATAGAGGCTCTCAGCTGTGCTTTGGGAGGGCAGTTGTGCTAGAAGGCACATCTACAGGGGGGCCCTCTCTACCCCTTCAAGCCCCCAGTCACTTTAATATGGTCCAGGTGATTCAGAATTTCTCTCTTTGTTCCAGATTCCTCCACGCAATGAACAGCCTCCAGGAATTCCAAGAAGTATTCTTACAATCCCAGGTCTTGGCATGAGAATCAGCTGAACCTTCTGTTACTGAAAATTCTCTTGTATTTTCCCCCTGACAACTCACACTGTACCTCAGACTGCTTTGATAGCTCCCTTAATAGTTGCCTTCATATTTCAAAACCTATAAAATTACATATTTGAAGGGATTATTCATTTTTTTCCTATGGAAAGCACACATGCCCCATGCTTATATAATGCTTTAATAATGATAACCAGATGGATTGAGGGGTCTTTGACAAGGGGTTTCTTCAGCTAATGTGAGAACAGACTGAATTTTAGCTTTTCTGACTAGTGCAAAAATGAGCAGAATGTAAAGTGGCCTATAAATTTCCTACTTGTGCAATTTTAATACTTTCATCATAGTCAAATGAAATATATTTGAAGCCAACTCTCCCCCTTCTCCATTTTTGAAAGTACAAATTTCGGGTTTTACTCAGTAAAGCCCAGGAAAATGTTTACCCAGAAGGACTGGATACTCCTAAGCAGTTCCCACTCAAAATTCTGACCCAAACAGCTCTACTCAGTGCCTATGCTCTGGCCTCCTCTTTCCTTGTTCTCAGAAAAACCCAAGATATTCTTACCTACATACTGAATCATAAAAGCCATAAAATATTGGCTGATCATCTGGTCTACCTCTCTCATACTGTAACTGAGGAAACCAGTTTCAGGAAGGTTCTGGACTTGGCTAAGGTCACATAAGTGGCAGAGTTTAGACTTGAACCCATTCTACATGTAATGTTCATTTATTATGCACCTGTCTCTCTTCTACTTTCCTTTTCTGTACCTTCCCCTTTTTGGTTATACTTTCCATTCCCCCTGTCAGAACCAGGTCTTGGATGATGACGAGGTAGGTTAAGCCAGAGTAAATCAGATTGTGGAGGACAGCCACAGCAAGGGGGCAACAGGAAACAGAGGAAAGGTCTGGTAACAGGCAGCCAGAAAAAGTTCAACCGACAGCTCCAGCACAAGGCAAAGGTTTGGGGAGACGGATGGTATGTGTAGAGTTAGGAATGCAACACCAGACTACATAGATGCATATGAGCAGATTAGGTAAGCAGCAGGGACCCAGACTCAGGAGTTGCCTTTCAGTGACAGGATTCATGTTCAAAACACCTGAGATATGGTACCAAAGCAGGGATGTGACCTGGAACTGGAACCAGAACCTGGAATTCAGTTCCAAGGAACACGTTTACAAGGTCAGGTCAGAATAAGCAGTGAACTGTTGCCCAGAGTTCCTTAAATTCTTCCAAACTCGTGTGGGAGAGACTGTTAGTGGCTGACCAAAAAGGCCATGTACCTCCATAAATCTCCTAGTCTCCTTTGTGGCTGGACTAGGACCCTGTGACTATTTGTGGCCAAAGGACTGTGAGGAGAAGTGGAGACCATGGAAGCCACACATTTTGTTGCTGAGGAAGGGGAGGCGCACTAGACGCCTATTGAGAATAGTCCTGTTGTAGATCCTTATCCACTCATTCAACTCTGTGAAGCATCAGACACAGCATGACCTTCTAACATGAGGACTTAATATCTACATGGGAAACGACAGAGGAAGAGAGCACACCTTGCTCAAGAGGGCTGTCTCCTAGAAGAAAAAAAGAGCCAAGAAGTTTCCCCTCATAAAACCAATGGTCTCTGAATATTATAACTGCTTGTTTTGTTGAGAAATAATTGGGAACTGGAAAAAAGTAGGGAATTTATATATAAATGTAAACATACAAATATGTCAAAATTACATAATGTAAATAGATTTACACGTATGTAAATAATTTACAAAGGTATAGATTTATGTGTCCTAACCCATTTAATCCTCTCAACAACTAAATGAGGCAGGTACAATTATTATTCCTATTATTATTTCCAGATGAGGAAACTGTGGCACAGTTTCTGTGAATAATCTGCGAGACAGTTAACCTTGTGAAGAAAATCCAGTATGTCAGAGGAAGCTAAGGCCACGTTGGTGTGAGGCCCTCACTTCATCCGGTGACTAGCACTATGCCCAGCAGTGCCCGCTCAGCCCTCACCCTCCCATGGCTGTCTCCTCAGAGCTCGCCTGCATGTACTCAGCCCTCAACCTGCACCACGATGTGGTGACGGTCACACAGGATAAAAACAATGCCCTCATTGAAGCAGCAGGTGTAAATGTTGAATATTTCTGGCCAGGCTTGTTTGCAAAGGCCCTGGCCAATGTCAACATTGGAAGCCCCATCTGCAATGTAGGGGGTGGTGGACCTGCCCCAGGGGCTGGCTCAGTGCCAGCAGAAGGTCCCGCCCCCTCCACCACTGCTGCCTCAGCTGGGGAGAAGGAGGTGGAAGCAAAGAAAAAAGAGTGTGATGATGACATGGGCTTTGGTCTTTTTGACTAAACCTCTTCTGTAACCTGTTCGGTAAAAAAGCTGAACTCTTTAAAAAAATAAACAAAAACAACTACATTAGAAATGACATTTGAACAGTGAAGAAAATTTCTATTGAATATTAATATACCTCTTAACCCTAATTTAAGTTGAACCCATCATCTGTATTTTATATATTTTAAAAATTAAAATTAACCAGTTTAAAATGCACTTGGTACTTCCACAAGTTGCACAACCAACACCTTTCTATAGCTTTAAAATATTTTTATCACCTCAAAAAGAAATGCTCTGGCCATTAAGCAGCTGCCCCCCATATTCCCATTCTCCTGCCCCCCAGACCTAAGCAACCACTCAGCTAGTTTGTCTCTATAGACTTTACCGTATTGATATATTTATTCTAAATATTTCATCTAAATGGAATCATACAAGAGAGGTGATCATGGGTCTGCCTTCTTTCACTGCAGCACGTTCCTGAGGTTCGTCCATCTTGTACCTCACTCTCATTAATGGCTGATTTGTATCTGTTGTAAATACACACTACCGTGTGTTTATCCATCACCTGTTGGTGGACATCTGCACTCTTTCACCTTTTGGCCACTGTGAAGAGTGCTGCTGGGGATATTTTTACACAAGCATTTGCTTGAGTGCCTGTTTTCCACTCATCTGGTCATTTACCTAGGAGAGGACTTGCTGGGTCACATAGTAATCCTATGTTTAACTTTTACAGGAACCACCACAGCAAATTCCATGGTGGCTGAATCATTTTACATCCTAACCAGCAATGTATATAGGTTTCCATTTCTCCATATCTTAACCAACACTTGCTATTTTCCCTTTTTATTTTCTAACCGCTATGTTACTGGATGTGAGGTAGTATCTCATGGTGATTCTGATAACACATTTCTCTGATGATTAATGATGTGGAATATTTTTTCCTGTATCATTGGCCATTTGTATATCTTCTTTGAAGAAATGTCTATTCAAGTAACTTTGCTCATTTTTTAGTTTCTTTTTTCATTTTGTTGTTATAAGAGCCCTTTTATGTATTCTGGATCCTGGATATAAGACTTGCAAACATTTTCTCCTATTCTGTAGGTTATTTTGTTATCTTAAAAAGCTGAATTTCTAAGTCTGCTTCCCACTCAAAGAGACTTCTAAGGATATTAAAAAGTTTGTTTAATATTTATAAGCACTGTTATCTCATGCCCTAGAGACTATAGATGTTCGTTTGCTATGGAAAACTACATTTGTTAAAATTTGTTATTAAATTTTGTAGTTTATCGTAGAAAAAATTAACAAGTATTTACTAAGCATCTAATATGCCTCTTGTCCTTAATGTATTTTAATTTACTTTTGGACCAAATGACTTTTACTACTAACATGGTTACAGCATCCATAAGAGTGGTGTAGTAGGGGAAGTGCTGGAATGAGAGTCCAGCCTCTTGGCCTGTGAAGCTCAGACAAGGGGCTTGACTTCTGCCTCTTGGTTTTCCTCATCTGGAAGACAGGGCTGATAGTAACTGCTTTGCCTCCCTCTGACGGCTATTGTGAAAATCAGGTGAGAAAAATGAGAATCTGCACAAAGGACTTCAAGAGCTCTGTGGAATACATCTGCCCACCCCAACACCTCACCACCACCACCACCACCACCATACACACACACACACACGCACGCACACACGCACGCACACACAAAAGCACTTCATAAACTTCATCCATTATACTGGTGTTGTCCTGGGCAAATCAGGTCACATGGTGTCCTTACTGCACTCCTGGAGTGCGTTTTCTAAAACACAAGTCTGACTGTGTTACTCCGTCCTCTGAAGCCCTACAGTGACCCCCCACCCCCCTCCTCAGAGGAGACTTGGTGATGTGACTCTTTAGCCTCTTCTCTGACACTGACCAGGGCCCCAGGCCCAGCTGTGCCAACCTGGTTTCCAGTCTGCACTGCCCTCTGTGACTCCTCAGAGCACCTGTACATGCTGTTCCACAAGCGCTCAGAAGGCTGGATGTGCTTCTCAGTCATGGGATCTGCCACCCGTAATGAGGTGTGGGTCCTGGGAAGGTCTCCATCTTAGAGACCATCTCAGAGGCTTGATGGACAGGAAATTACTTTGGCTTTTGAAGACTTGTATTGAGAGTTCCCTTCTGCCACCAATAGCTGTGTGACCCTGGGCCAACCTTTCTGGGCCTTAGTTTTCTCATCTGTTAAGTCAGAGGAGCTCACACAGAACTTTTTGGTCTATGACCTGGCATTTCCTATATGAACAAGTATTTATTTTTAGCTTTACTGAGGTACAACTGACAAATAAAACTATAATATATTTAAGGAATACAGGGATGCCTGAGAGGCTCGGTCAGTTAAGTGTCTGACTTTGGCTCAGGTCACAGTCTCACCATTTGTGGGTTTAAGGCTCACATCAGGCTCTGTGCTGACAGCTCAGAGCCTGGAGCCTGCTTCAGATTCTGTGTCTCTCTCTCTCTCTTTAAAAATAAGTTTATAAAATTCACACCTGCTTTATAGACAGAATAGACAAGCAGTCTCCCTGAGTCATATAGCCAGAAAGGGAGGGGCAGGCTAGGCTTCAAACCAGACAGTCTGAATCCAAAGCTCAAAGTTTTTCATTTCAAGTGTCTTCCTCCAGGACTCTCAATGATTGTCTTCTCCCTGCTTTGTTTCCATGCCCCGTCCCATTGGCCCAGAAACAATCGACTATTTTTCCACTCCAATTTTCCAAGAGCTTCCAGAGCCTACGTGTGTCCCTCCCAGAGAAGTATCTGGGAGACCACAGCACCTTACTTACAGAGAAAGACTCCACCTCCCCTCACCTCCCCCCAACAGCTATCTGAGCTCATCTGAGAATAGCAGTAACAACATTATCCTGTGATGCGTACATAGCAATGAGCATTTTATCCGTTGCTGTATTTTATCTTATGAGACTGCCACAGCAGTCCCAGAAGTTAACAGAGGACTGATTTTATGGATGAGGAGATTGAGGCTCAGGAGTTCACCTGCCCATGATCACATTCTTGACTCCAAGTACATCACTTCCTTCTTGAGCCTTTGGCATAGTGCTGAGCACAAGTTTGGGAACATATTTTAGCAACATGCCTTACTAAGTTTCTCCTTGTGGACAGCAAAAGAAAGCAGTGTATCTGGCTACTTAGAACTACACACACAAGTGCCACTCAAATGGAACCCTGGCCTTAGCCCTAAAGAATCAATCAGTGGTCGGCCTTCAGTGAAGCTATTTTTGGGTCCCCATCAGTGTTCTGACACTCCATTACCCAGACTTCCTCCCGTGACCCATGAGCTTGACAGTACCTCCAAATACCCCTGACAGCCTCAGTGACCGATGTTCACCAGATGCTGCTCAGGCCTCATGTTCTTACACAGGGATGATAGAAAAAATACACCATGACCCACTGGGAACTAACTGACTGATCGTTCACAGTGCTGATGATTCTCCTTGTGTGGAAAAGTGGAGAAATTTTGGTGCAGTGGTGTGGAGACTTTGGTTGGCTGACTGGTTTTGATTTGGAGGTCATTTGTCTGGCTTGGGAATATCTGATGCTTGCCCCTCCTGACTTAATCATCCCTATTTCTTTTTCTAATCCATGTGTCACCAGGCGAAAGAAGTGTAAACATGTGAGATTGCTGTTTTCAGCAAATTCACCCAGCAGTGGATGCCAAACCAGGCTTCGCCTGAAAACCAGTCTGGCACCGACAACAACAGAAAGAGATAGAGTTACATTTCTTGTAAACCAACAGCTTGATTTTCATGTTGGCACACTGGGGGTTTTGTTGTTATCGTTTTGTTCTGGACTGAGGGACAGGCTGAGTTTCCATAGCTGGGTTTCTGGCTTAATGTAGCATTGCTTCTTGAAGCTTGGTGAATCAATTCTACTCGACTAACATTCACAGCAAGCAAGAATTGTAGCAATCAATTCTCCTCTCAGAGTGATCTTTCTAAATTGCAAATGTGATTGTCCTACTCCTTGTTTGGCATATTCTGGCCAAACATTATTTTCAGACTTATGGACCGGGCTGATATTTATCTGGTATTCCAGCAGCACTGGGACATAGCTGGCTGCTGTTTTTATTCATTTAGATCCAAGCCATAAAGGTCATTAAATATTTTGAATATCACGCATGCTTGTTAACCTTTACTTCTTCCCTTACTCTAATGGCACTAAGTCAAGCCGTTCTAGAAAACACCTCATGCCTTGAATAAACCAGGGTCTCTCATCTTCTCACATCTCTGCCTTGGAGACCCCAGCCTCCCCTAACTCCTCTCAGCCTTCAATGATCTCAGGTATGCAAGGCTTTCCCTACCCCTCCTCTCTCCCATTCCTACCACATGCAGCTGCTCTGTCCTCTCTGATTCTATAATACTAATGATACCAATATATGTAACACCAACAACTGTAACACCAGGGACTTAAGAGACACAGTGTTTTCACTCTGAAAAGAGTCAAGTCAATACCAGCAGCAAGAGGCAAACTAGGAAAACAGGTCCTTTCCACAGGAGAGTCACAGAATCTCAGAGTTGGGAGGGATTTAAGGCTCCCCCTCATCCCCTTCCACAGTATCTGTGATAGATATTTTTTCAGCTTCCAATCAAGCATTTCCAGAGATGGAGCAGCAAGTGGTTTTTTTTTTGTTTGTTTGTTTTGTTTTTTACAAAGTTTTTCTTTACATTGAACAAAAGTTGACTTTGTACTAAACTCTACCTGTATGCCCTTGGTCTGCCTTCAGGAGATGCAGAATAAGTCTTTCCCTGCTCTGCCTGATGGCCCTTTAGATACTTGAGGAGGTCACTCCTCTGTCTTCTGTCCTTCAGAAACAGACTGGGGTTCCAGAATCATTCTTTCAGGTACAGTAGAAAGAAGATCATGCCCTGAATGCCCCAGAAGCCATCACATTGTTTCCCCAAGTGCCTGGCACCAGGCTGTTGTTTGGAAGGAACATAAATACATCTTATTCCAGAATTTTTAAATTTAGGCCTAAC